ACTGCCCTGGACGTGAGACTGACTGCTTGAAGTTTGACGAGCTTGTCCTAGAACCAGCTTTGGATGACATTGTTCCTCTTTGTGGATTTTTGTTGCGTGAATTATTTGATACCTGTTTCAAAATTTCAGAAAATTGTTTAGTCAAATAAACAACTGTATCATCACCTGGTTCGTCTGAATCAGATACAACATTATTTCCTTCAGCGGCAAATGCTATATTTTTTTGTTTTTTCGTTTTCGTGTGATCAGTTAAAATTTCCATTTCGTAGGTTCTAAGATTTCCCATTAATTGAGTAACAGTTTTGTTCTCCCAACCGTCGTGTTCCTGAATAGCCGTGACTTTCATTCTGAACCTCGGGGGTAAGGATCTCAGTATTTTCTTAACAAGCTTTGCTTGCGAGAATGGTTCACCAAGGACCATTGCACGATTCGCCAGTTCCTGTACGCGTGTGTGAAAGTCTATGATTGTCTCATCCTCATTCATTCGAAGCTCTTCGAAGTCTGACTGGACCAGTTGCAGCTTTGATTGTTTCACCGATGTAGTTCCTTCGTAAGTCGACTCAAGAGCTTCCCAAGCACCTTTAGCTGAATCAATACCTGCAACTATAGAAAACTGACTTTCATGCATAAGGGAGTAAATCGTATCTAAGGCCTTATCGTTATATCCAGCATTAGTTATTTCAGCTTGGGACCATTCGGTTTCAGGTTTAGTTACTCGCGTTCCATCATCACTTGTACTGGCTTTAGTCGGATGAGTCCAACCTGTCACCACGGACCGCCAAACAGCGTCTCCTTGGGCCTTAAGATGTGTACGTGTGCGAGCTTTCCAATAGGCATAGTTGTCGCCTGTCAACTGGGGAAGAACCTTCACACGGTCCATTCTGAAACACTCAATAAACAGTGAGATTGAACAAAATAGTATAACAAACAATAATAATAAAAGCCGCTGAAAGCTTGAGTTCAAGAAGCACGGAATAGCCAGATCGATAGACTAATAAATTAAGTCTACAGGCTCTGATACCAATTGAAATTGCACCGTGAGTCTTGAATTCAATTACACCTTTAATGTTCTACTTGTTTTTAGAAGAGATATTGCATTATCAATTAATTAGGTTATTTAATGAACATACATAACAAAATATAAAAGCATAAAAATAAAACAAGTACTCGGAGATTGATCACGCAGTTCGGAGCTCCTTCTCCTACGTCTGCGGGGCAACCCACGTCTGCCCAATCCACTATAGATGTTCACCAAAAGGAGTATTACAAGAGGTAAGTACAAATGGCCCTCAGCCTTTACCACTACCACACCTTCCTAACATCTACTCAGGATTGTACGTGCATGCCGTGACGATCTTCAACCGAAGCTTCAGCTGTACCAGGTACTGACTGTGCAGCTCAGACAGAAATCCTCAAGAAATAATATAATAATAATGAAGATTAATACAGTAGCTTTCTAGAATGTCTTTCACTCAAAATATCAATATTCAATTCAGCATAATAAAACTGTAATAAATATAATTTGGCTTCTCTCAATTTAGCAAGTGAAAATCCATTATATCAATAAAGAAAGTCTTTCCTTTTATAGCAATTCCTTCTTCAACCAACCTCCCCCAAAACGCATGTTGTCCACTCATTGAAGAAAGACCATGACCACAATAAAATGTTAATCCCTTTATAATAGAGCAAATTACCATGACCACAATAAAGTATTAATCCCTTTATAATAGAGCAAATTACCATGACCACAATAAAGTATTAATCCCTTTATAATGGAGCAGATTACCATGACCACAATAAAATATTAACCCCTTTATAATAAATCAAATTAGCACTTAGCTCGTTGACTGCCATTTCATAATGTATACTCACTGACTTTCGATCCATGCACTGTACTAGTAGAAGAAGACAAAACTTTGATAGGAGATGGTCCAAGTGCTTCATATACACATTCTAATTAATTTGACAAATAAATTAGCCAACACAAAGGGTTTCAAAGTGTATTAAATTTTACACTTACACATGTATTGGTCCATTATTTAGGTGATTTTTGTATGTTGGCTAGTGATGATGGTATCAGATGCATTAACTGTTTTGTTAGATTTTAAAAAGTTCAAGAGAAAAACTAGATTTACTCGTGCAGTAGATGGCGAAACGAGTACATGTCTTACTTTTCTTTCGTTTTTCTCTCTCTAACGGGCCCCACAATAATATGTACAAATATTTGACTGCAATCGGAGAAACATATGATAACAACATTTGTGACGCAAAAAGTGAATATCTCGTTTGCTCTCTTCACGATTGCATTTCGCTCCTTGCAAAAACTGTCATCTGGGATCTTGTCTCATCACCTTCACTCATTTTTCTTTGATTTTTTTTTTCTTGGTACTCATTTTTCTTTGATCTTTGATTTGTGTATAATCAAGAAGATTTTTGCAATTGCAAAATTAGTTAACATGTATGTTGGTGTGTAATATAAGCTGCTCGAATTGAGATCAACCACTGTACGTACTAGCAACAAATCTTGATTCGATATGATAGATTCAAATGTGGTTACGGTGCACGTTCTTAATTGACCTTCTCTATGGATATTCCATCTTTTGACTTTATATATATATATATATATATATATATATATATATATATATATATATATATATATATATATATATATATATATATATATATATGTTCTTGAAAGTGGGGATCGGAACTTCCTGGGATCTATCTTTAATTTCTTTCGTTAAGCTAAGCTAGATTGACAACAACTAACAGCTTTAATTAGAGTTTCTTGGAAATTAAAGCTACAATTATGTGGTTGTATTCTGTTTAATTTTCATTTAAATGTAGTTCTGTTTGACATGTAATTTGTATTCTGTTTAATTTGCATTTGCATTCGGTAGAGGTTAGGGAGGTGGTGACCACCTCGGCAGTGGTGAACACGGTAGGAGGGGGTGGGGTACGGACTGGAATGTCGGAAGAGGAGTTGTTGGTCGCTTCGGCTAAACCACGGCGGCAGGTTACGACCGATGGGGAAGATGTGGTGCGGAGTGGTGGAGATGTTGCTTTACTTGATGGCTCAAAAAACTTGTCCATGGCGGGAGCTGGTACCCATCCCCGCCCGTCATCATGAGTACGTTAAGCTGGAACTGTCGTGGCTTGGACAATCCACGCACAGTTCGAGAAGTTGTGGACCTAGCGTCCCGTAAGAAGCCCGAGTTTGTGTTTTTTATGGAGACCAAGTTGGGACGGATACATGCAGAACGGATCCGTGTCAGGCTTGGGTATGATGGTTTGTTTTATGTTAATAATGACGGTTTAAGTGGTGGAATGACTCTCTTCTGGAAAAAGAAAAACACGGTCAGGTTGTTAAGTTACTCGTAGAATCATATAGATGTGGAGGTAAGTTTCTCTAATAAGATTTGGCGTATGACATGCTTCTACGGCATCCCGGATCGAAATAGGCGGGAGGAGTCCTGGAATTTACTGGGCACTTTGAGAGATAGGTCCTTATTACCCTAGGTAGTGATTGGGGATTTTAATAATCTCCTTTATCAGCATGAGAAGAGAGGGGGAAACCTGTACCCTAATAGCCTGCTTCGCGAGTTTGTGGAGGCTGTAGATGGTTGTGGTCTGTTGCAAATGCCGATGAGAGGCCATCAATTTACTTGGTGTTGGTCCCGATAGAGTGTAGCGAGAGTCTAGAGGGGGGGGGGGGGGTGAATAGAGTCTTTTCGAGAAAAGCCCTAAAAGTCACCTTTCGGTGTTTTGGCGCAGCGGAAAAGTTAGATTCGTTTAATTGCTTTGCACGAGTTTGCGATATAAGGAAAACTTTCGGTAAAAGGGATAAAGAGGATGATATGAATGCAGAAAGAAAAAGCATAAGTAAAGAGATAGAGGAGACAAGAGATTTTATAGTGGTTCGGCTAACGTTGCCTACTCCACTCTTCTTCCACAACTGATGGAAGGATTGCACTATCACTCTTTAGTACAATTACACAAAGACCTCCTTGATCACTAAGCCGGACAACCTTCGTAGGTTTTTCAACTCCTCGAGTTTACTCCGCCTCTATCAACTTCCTCTTCAGAGTTGAGGTTGGTAGAAAATGATTTCTTGATTTCTCCAACGTGATGAAGTCTTGACTGAGAGAGATGATTACTTCGAACAAATGGCAAGACTTCTCTAAGGTGTAAGAAAGTGATCAATAACCTTCTTCAAGTAACTTAACACCTTAACACTGGTTCACAAAAGCTTTTAGAGATTTGAGAGCGTTCAAGAGCTTTTGCAAGAAAATGAGTCGAGTGAAAAGAACCAGCACCTTCTTAGTTGATGAAGGTGGGTTTATATAGGTGATGAAAATTCATCCGTTGGAGGGAGATGAGATTTTCGAACCTTTTAACCAGTGGGCAAGGACCGGGGAGCTTCATGCATTAAATGCTCCATTAATGAGGTTGTACCATGTAGCCGTTGAAAGTATGGAAAGCATTAGGGTTTTGTCCTTTAGCTCCAGGAGATGGTACATCTTCATTTAATGCTCCTTGATTAGTGTGTCCCATAAGATGGGGTCCTTATTGTCCTAGGATGTTGTCAAATCAGACAGATAGAACATTCTTCTCGTTGTAGAAGAGAAGTAATGCTTGGTAAGAATCGTCTTTAACAAAACTGTCCTTTCGTGATAGTTGACAACTCCTGCTTGACTTTCGTTGTTGTTCATCATGCCTTGTGTCTTCTTTCGTCTTGGAGACCCTAACAACTATCCATAACTCATTTTCGTGTGTTTGTCTAGCTTAACACGAATTACAGAGGAGTTATGGCAACTCTCGTCTAGGACGAAAGCAGCGAACAAAAAAGCTAATAGTTAGGGGTCTACTTTTCTACATTACATTGGTATCATCAAAATCCTAATACAAGGTTCCTAACAATTTCCCCCTTTTTGATGATGCCAAAACCCTATACCCTTCTTGTAAGGCTGAAAAAGATTCCATAAAGAATTTTTCTATTATAAAAGCAGCCTTACGTGAGAGTGTACAAGTCTTTTTATTTCTAAGAGCTTTGACTTCTGTTGAGCAGCTTCCTGTTGTTCTTTACAGTCTTTTTCCTTTTGTTGCTTGAGCATTCTTTTGAAGTCTATTTTCTCATTGATCTTTTTCCTGAAGATCTTAATCGGATTTGTCTTGACAAGCTCTTCATGTTCTCCTTTGATATTTAAGCTTGTGTAGTTGTTATAAGCTTCACGAATGTTTCTTCCTTCGACTATCCCAGCTTTCCACCACGAAATTAGCTCAAACGAATTCATTCCTTCTTGATAACTTTTTCCTGACTCTTTGTGCACTTTGAAGGCTACATTGTGAATAACACTTTGCGGAGAGTCTTTGGTTACACTTGAAAGATCTTCGATGAGATTCCTGATTCTTTCTCTTTCCTTTGCTTCATCCTCTCTTCTTTTGATTTCTTCATCATGTTTCTTCCATAGCTCTCTGTTTTCTCTTTTGATCCTTTCGTTTTGGGTGCTAATGTGATCTTGCCTTGTATGATTATCCCTTGTTTTAAGCCAGGTAGGGACATTGCAACCCTCAAAACGTTTACCACTTCCTTCTTCATAGGGAACAAAGTCCACAAAGTTTCCTATGTCATCCATAGTTACTTTGTTGTTCTTCATAAGTCTTTGCCTTAGATTCGTCTATTCTCTCTTGGACAAACCCGTGAAGATGTACTTGGCTTCAGTACCGAAAGATTGGCGAGGCTTAAGTGATCTGGATTGGTATCGACCATGGTATCTTGGCTTTGAGGAATGGTGACCACGAGACCTTGATGGAGGATGGGATGGATTTGTGTTCCTTCGGCCAGAGTCTCTTGGTGTCCGAGAAGGCGAGTGTTTTGCTTCTGGAGACTGATCTTTCGTGTTGTTTCTTGGATGATCATCATCCTTGTCCTTGTCGTCATCTCTCTTATCATCATCCTTATCCTTGTCGTCATTTCTCTTTTCCCCCTTTTTGGCATCATCGGCACAAGTGGTAGGAGGAACAGTGGAAAGCTTACTTACTGCTACCAAGATATACTGGGCATATCCGAGAATTTGAAGAGCATATTCTCCCAGTTGGTATGAATTATCTTGATAAGTATCGATCTTTGTACAAGCTAGGTCAACACGTTCTTTAAGGCCGAAGAGAGAATGTTTGAGCTCGTGTTGTTGCTGTGCAACTTTGTTCATGGTGGTGTCAAGTTCATGAAGTCTCTTCGCAATTCGCTCAAGGAACTTGTGATCTGATTGAGTGTGTTGTGACGGTTGAGGTTGTTCTTGAGGTGGAGGCTGAGGTTGAGATTGGGCAGCCATCAGAAGATCTACCTTCTTGCATAAATCATCTAGTACTTTCGTGTCCTTTTGCCGTAGAACAAGATATTGCAGATGGATGGTTTCGGCTGAATGGACAGTTTCTCTCATGAGGTTCATGATGGTCCGTGGGGGCTCTGCAGTTGACTCTTCTTCAAAGTTTGTTGGCGTTGTGTCCATTTGTTCATTTTGAGGTGGTGCTTCACTTTTGCCACCACTTGCTGAGCTGAGAAGAATTGGTGAGGCTTCCAGTTTGCCCTCACGCGCAGATTCTTTCTCTTGCTTGATCGGCGTTTCGTCCATGGGTTGAACAAGTGGAACTATGGTACGAGACAGATCTTCGGGATGTTCATTTGAAGCTTCTTTCGGGTCATCACTGTCAGAGGGTAATTTTCTTAGGGGAGATCTTTGGGGAAAGGTATCATAATCAGGACCGATCAATATTGGATCACTGTCTTCGGAATCGGCTCCTTGGACACCTGCATTACCCAAATTACCATCGTTGTCATTGTCATCATCGTCGTCATCATGTTCATCATCTGCATCGTCATCATCATCATCATCATTTACATCGTCAATATCATCATCATCATCATTTACATCGTCAATATCATCATCATCATCATTTACATCGTCAATATCATCATCATCATTTTCATCTTCCTCATTCATATCACTTTCGTCTTCTTCAATTTCTTGTCCATGCTCATCCTTCGTTCCACTGACATTGCAGTTTAGATCATTCTGGTGTTCCTTTTCTAACGTGGTTTTGATCTTTGATAGCAGCATGGCATATCGAAGTTGCTTCATTTCTTCTTCCAAAGCTGGATCCAATGGTGGTTTGTTAAGATCAATGCAGAGTGGGGCTTTGTCTTTCCCGAGAGTGCGATTGGTCATCTTGTAGGAGAACACTCGTCTAATTTCTTCAAGACGAAGGGATTTGTAAACGTCATCTGTGCCGATCCAATTCAGTGCAAATTCTTCTTCGTCTTGCATAGCTTCAAAGGTTTCAATGAAAGATCTTAAGGGAGCAGTGCGCCACTTTTGCCACTGCAAAACTCGTTGGTAATCCCTTTCAATGGATTCTCTGAGCAATTTATCTGGTGAAGGTTGAGGAACAGATACTTCAGGAGCTGGTGCTGATGGTTTCGGGATATCTGGAGTTGCTACCGGCACCATAGCTGTCTCGTCTACCAACGTAGGTTCTTGTGTCAGAATAACCTGCTCTGCATTGGTAGGTTCTTGTGGATGAGATGGCATATCAATCAATGCATCAGACGCTTCTTTCGTCTTTTCTGGCGAACCAGGTTCTTGTGGAAGACTTAAGCGACTGGCCTCTATTTCTACATCAGCAGGTTCTTGTGTCAACTCATGAGGAAGTTGCTCTACCAAAGTAGGTTCTTGTGGATGGGGGACTTGAGAAGGAACGAGATCAGTTTCTGGGTCTTGATCATCAGAGAGTCTTTTAGGAAGGACAACTTTCGGTTGAGCTTCCCCCTGAGGATGTGCTTCTTTCGTGACCTCTTCCCCCTATGGAGGTGTTTCTCTCGTGTCTACCACTTTCGATGTAAAATGTTTCTTCGGGGAAAACTTTGGCTTGACAGGAGACCGAAAGTGACCCTTTTTGTCGAGTCTTGAAAGAGTCAGATTGTCTTCTTCGGATGAATCTTTTACGACGACTGTTTCTGGTGGTGGAGTAGGTGGAGTAGGATCTTTCTTCTCTGGTAGAGGTAGAATAGCATCTGTCTTCTTTACCTTACTCCGAGAGGAGTGTTTTTCTCGCTTTTGTCATTTAGGCTTAGGTTGATCATCCTCTGAAGCTTTAGGAGTTCTTGACTTCCTTTTGGATTTAATCAGCTCAATGGGAATCCCTAACTCCAATGCCTTCTGCTTGTCATAACCTGATGGTTTCTGTTTCATATGGCATGCTTTTGGTCCTGACCGGATTCCTGGGCGCATTAAAATTCCTTTGGTGACGAGAAGATGGCTGACCATAAATCCATATCCTAGTTTCTTGGCGACGTCACCCGGACTCTTTCTGTTGTATGTGATGGTGTGGATGAGATTGTTGAAGATGATCTTTGACCAATCCACCTTGATTTCATTCAGAAAGGCATGCAGCATTTTTAATTTCTCCTTTGTTACGTCATCAGTTCCTGACGTTTTGTGATCAACAACTTTGTTGAAGATATCAACTGTGAACTCATAATTTAGTCGAAACCACTTCTTCTTTAACGGCCATGAGATCTCTGTCTTCGCCGGACCTTGGTTGTTCTTGATAGAGACATAGAAGTCTTCTGGATCGTAGTAATAATGAGTAAGGTTGGACATGTAAGAGTCATCTCTTTGTGGAAAGCCGTACATGGTTCGAATGTCTTCCGAGGTGAGGATCACTTCATGATTGTGAACCCTGGATGCAATGGTCAGAGAATCAGAGGAGATGGTTGCGTTCATGTAGAACTGGTAACATCAATAGGGTACCATATGGTGTAAAGATGAGTGATGAATCTATACAGCCCTGTTTCTGTGAGGAGTCAAATGATGTTTTCGCCAAATCTTCTATCCAATATGTATTCAAGAAATCCATGTGCATCCCACATGCTACCCCCGACAATAAAAGGTACTCTGGATTCAATGAATCTCAAGTCTTCAGTTGGAAAGCTTGGGATTTCCAGGATGGATGGTGTTTCTGGTTCTTTTTCAGAAGGTGAAGCTTGTGAGTGTTCCGCCATTGTGAAGGATTGAGGGAGAGAGAGATAAGTATGATGGATGAGTGTAGAGATTGAGTTTAAAAAAAAAGCAAGGTATATTGAGAAGATGGTTTAAGTAGGGTTTTATCTTACTCCAGGTAACCGGTTATGGGTAACCCATTTAGAGATGGATTATTTGAATTTCAAAATAGCTACTAGTTCCTCTTCTCCATATGGTAACTGATCATAGTGGGGGAATGATAAGATCGTGTGCAGATCAAAATTGATCATTCCATCATTTAATGAGGTGAGAGAAAAGCACTCGAGTGCCTATGGGTACATTAAATGCACGTCACGTCCTGTGTCAGACAGAGTGGGATAGTGGACCATTTTTCTCGGCCACATGATCCCCATTATAATTCATCTAAACGGTTTGGATTAGAAGTTAAAGATGAAGCGTCTTAGGCACGATTCCAAACCCAAAGATAGATAAAATTAGCACAACATAAGACTTGTAAGACAAATAAAGTCAAACAAATCCTTTTTACAATAACAAGGGTGCTTTTCCCGAGAGATTTATTACACAGAACAAACGTAATAAAAACGATTACAATCTCTCGTGCATCAGTAGGCAAGCTAGCCTTTACTCAATGCTATCCTTCTTCATTCGTGCATACTCAAAATACTCCTTCTTTCGGATCTCATGAGCAAATACTTCAGCGATGAGAGTTTCGTGATCTGCCCCCATTGTTTCTCTAGAGAGACCTCGTCTCTCCATGTCATCCAGTTCAGCCAAGACTTTGGCTTTAGCACTAGCGTACAATGCACGATATCTATCTTCGTGTTTCAGAAGTGGTGTTAGTTGAACAAGGGAGTAGAATTCTGAGATGTCTGGTTCCTTCCCAGAGGGTGAACCTTTCTCAACTGAACTTTTTCCATCAATGCCAAATTTTCGGATTAGGTCTTTGGTATATTTGGCTTGATTAATGAATATTCCATCTGGGCATTGTTTGACTTGTAATCCTAGAAAATAGTTTAGTTCTCTCATCATGCTCATCTCAAATTTACCCTTCATAAGATTGGAGAACTTTTCACACAATATTGGATTCGTGCTCCCGAAGATAATGTCATCAACGTAGATTTGGACTAATAGAATATGATCACTATCTTTTATACGAAAGAGTGTTTTGTCAACCACTCCTTTCGTGAAACCACAGTTGATAAGAAAGTATGAAAGAGTGTCATACCAGGCTCGTGGAGCTTGCTTTAAACCATAAAGAGCCTTTTGAGATGATAGACCTTTTCAAGCTCATTATTGATTGCAAAACCAGGTGGTTGTTCAACATACACTTCTTCTTCAAGAAGTCCATTTAAGAAGGCACTCTTGACATCCATTTGATAAAGTTTGAAATTCTTATAGGCTGCGAATGCCAGGAATATACGTATAGCCTCCAATCTAGCTACAGGGGCGAAGGTTTCATAAAAATCAATTCCTTCTTCTTGGCAATACCCCTTAGCGACAAGTCGAGCTTTGTTCCTAACAATGAGCCCATCTTCACTCATTTTGTTTCTGAATACCCATTTAGTTCCAATGACGTTCTGATGAGATGGTCTCGGTACAAGTTCCCATACCTCATTTCGTTCAAACTGATGGAGCTCTTCTTGCATGGCTATTACCCAGTCAGGGTCACTTAGGGCTTCTTCTATGGATTTTGGTTCCATTTGTGACAAGAAGCATGCCATCATACTTTCGTGCAATGAGGCTCTTGTTCTCACACCTTCTTGGACATTACCAATAACCTGATTTGATGGATGATCTCTTAACCACCGAAGGTCTGGTTCAAATGCATCTTGTTGATTTTGAGCATCCATTTCAGGAATATATGGTAGATCAATGTATATCATTGGTTCAGATGTTGTGGTACTTGTAGGATCATTCTGTTGAGTTCCAACTTTTTCTTGAGATGCAGGTTCGGGTTCTGAAATCTTTAGCTGATATTTCGTGTAAGTCGAAAGTATATCTTCTTCGTCTGAGATGTCTTCATCGACAGGTTGCTGAGGATTTTGACTTAAGTTGATTGAAGTTTTACATCCAGATGGATTCTTCTCAGATTGTTCATCAAATTTGACATGAATGGATTCCTCCATTATCATTGTTCGTTTGTTTAGAACTCTGAATGCTTTGCTTACTGAAGAATATCCCATGAATAGTCCTTCATCAGCTCTTTCGTCAAAAGCCCTTAGATGATTCTTTCCTTTGTTGTGTATGAAGCACCTGCAACCAAAGACATGAAAATAACCAATACTAGGAGTTTTACCTTTCCATAGCTCATATGGTGTCTTGTTGTGAGATTTGTTGATCAAGGATCTGTTTTGTGTATAGCATGCCGTGTTTATGGCTTCGGCCCAAAATCTCTTTGGTAGACCTGAGTGCGAGATCATCGTTCGTACAGCTTCTTTCAAGGTTCTATTTCTCCTTTCGGCCACTCCGTTTTGCTGAGGAGTTCGTGCTGCCGAGAGTTGGTGGAAGATTCCATTTTGCGCGCAGAATTCGTTTATAACTTTGTTGACAAATTCAGTTCCCTGATCAGATCTTATTCGAATTATTTTGACCTCCTTTTCTGTTTGAAGTTGTCTTAAAAGATTTGGAAGAGCTGTCTCTGTTTCATTCTTCTTCTTCAAGAAAAGCACCCATGTATATCTTGTGTAGTCGTCTACTACAACAAGAGTATACTTTCTTCCACTCAGACTTGTTGGATCTACTGGTCCAAAGAGATCCATATGTAGAAGGCTTAGAGATCGAGAGTTTGCATCCACATCTTTTGATTTAAAAGATGACTTGAATTGCTTTCCTTTTTGACATGCTTCACATATTTTATCTTTCATGTAAGACACTTCGGATAGTCCTCTCACGAGATTTCTTTTGGCAAGCTTGTTTATAGTCTTCAAGTTCAGATGGCTTAGTTTGTTATGCCATTCTTGATTGAGATCTGCATTACTTTTGGCCACAAGACAAACATTAGCGTTAGAAGAATTTAAGGAAATTACATACATGTTTTTCTTTCGTTGACCCGTTAAGGCTGTCTTGCCATCCTTCGTGTTCACGATTTTACATTCGTCTTTGGAGAATTCTACTTTGTATCCTTTGTCACATAATTGACTTGTACTTAGGAGATTGAACTTCAGTCCTTCAACATAAGAGACATCTTGTATTGTTATTCCCCTTTTGATGATGTCCCCTTTTCCACGAGTCTTGCCACTATTTTCTCCTCCAAAGATAACTTTGGGTCCATCTACTTCCATAAAGTTGCTCAACATTGTTTTATCACCAGTCATATGTCTTGAGCATCCACTATCAACATACCATATGACTTGTTTTTCCTGCATCAAAGATTATATGTTTTTAGGTACCCATTGAGTTTCGGGTCCTTGAGGGTTAGCAGTCAACTTTGGAACCCACATCAACCTAGAGTGTCCACGACTCATCCTTGGTCCTCTATATCCATTAGATGTACGATAATCATAATGAATGCTGGCAAAGACTTTAGCATTATATCTTTTACGAAGATATTCCTGAGGAGGATTTTCATAATGCTTGAGATGATTAGTTTGTTTACGCAGATGAGTCTTTTCAAACTCTGCTCTAGAGAGAGGTTCTTGGTAATCAAACCAATCTTCTTCTGATGGCCCAGTCCATCCATTGCCATGCCCAGATCTTATGAAGGATCTTTCGGGTTGTCTGTTTTTGTCCGTTCTTTGAAATTCCTTGAGTAAGATTCTTTCGTGTGAGTTTCGGATGATATTGCCTCTGGTTAACATTCGTCTTTTTCTTGGATTGAGTATTCCTGTTAGGCTGACCTCTTTTATGGTGTAGATCTTGTCTATTGCCATTTGGTCCATTCCTTCTGACATAAATTTGTCTAGGATTGCCATTAACGAATTTCTCTTTTCCAGATTCCACAATACGTTGTACAGCCTTTCCTTTCGGTTGGCTTGTTGTTTGTGGTGTTTCGACATTGTTAGCTACCATCATAGGCTCAGACACCTGGGTGGGTCCTTGAACAAATGCAGCCTCGAAGCTTTCGTGTGAATATGCATTCGTGGATTTGTTCAATTCGACTTGTGAAGAGGAGCTGGGGTTAAAACCAATTCCAGTTCTTTCCCCGGGCAATCTAGATTCATTCATCATTCTATCCATTAACTTGGATGAGTTATTGAATTTATCCAAGACTTCAAGCAGTTCTTGCTCTCTCTTTTCTTTTACTGTGCATTGCTCCTTTAGAGCGAGAACATTTTTCTCAAGTTGCTCCTTAGCAATGACTAGCATATCGTTCTCAATTCGAACTTGCTTTAGTTCATTATAGCTAATCATGAGCCGAGAGTTCTCCTCTTTAAGTTTGGAGTAAGTGCTATTTATCACCTTGAACCTCCTCATCATTTTGGTAACAGATTCATTGGAGGTTTGACTTCCCACAGAACTTGACTCAGCTGAATAACAAGAAGATGAATGAGAGTTTACCTCATCTTCATCTTCCATGAGGCACAGTTCGTCTGACTCTTAGCTGAATAGGCACAACAGTCCTTTCTCCTCATCAGTGTTTTCGTCTTCTGAGCTCGAACTTGAGGAGCTACTTTCGGTTGCAACTGTGTCAGAAGTTTCGTTTACTACCATTGCCTTCCTTCTTCCTTCATTTCTGGAATTTGATGATTCGGGCTTGTCGCTCCTTTTATATCTTTCTCCAGTCTCTTTTGAGGAAATTGTGG